GGAGCGTGGGTGACAGCCACAGGCACACTGCGCTGCCAGGCTGGGCTGAACCAGGCTGCTGCCTCCTGTTGCGTGGCCCTGGCAGCGGCTGGAGGGCGGTCTGGGGTCCTTGACCTCCAGCGTTGTGCCAGGGGAGCAGCCGGGGCTGAGAGCCGGGCTGCAGGGGCCCTTCGGAATCTGGTGTGTGCAGTGCTCAGGTTAAGCACGAAGAGAGAGAGAGAGCTGTTTGTTGATCTCGGTGCTTGGGGCGAGTGCCTTCCCTTCCCCGCTCCAGCCTGTGCGTGAGTTTTGTTTTTCTTCACCCTGCATAAAAAATCTGCCATCTTCCCTTAGGACAGGCTCCTGCTGGTCTGGGTTTGCCTTCCTAATGTTTCCCAGTCTTGCTCCACTGCTGAGGTCTGACCTTCGTCTCCTGCTCCAGAGAGAGTCCTTTTAAATCTTGCGAGCTGATCAATGAGCAGAACATTGTGATGAACTGAAGGAAGTACCGTGCACCCAGTAGCCCTGGATGGCCTCCAGCTCCCATCTCTGCTGCTTTGCTCTCGTCTGGCTGTACCAGGGCAGGTGCCTGCTAGATGTGCTGTGCATCGACACTGAGAGGATCCATTTCCAGCACTGCCCAGTCTGGTGTGTCATTCCTGTGTACTGACAGTTTTGCCTTCCCCTGTACACAGTGTTTATGTATCTGCTGTTTCCCTAAGGTGAAGCTCTCCAAATAGAGTGTTTATTACTACTTTTGGGTGCTGTCTCTCTGCCATGGCCCTTCCTGGGATTTTGCCATACTTCAAAGCAAAGAACAGGATGCAGACACCTTTGAAATATTTGGGAGGGATGGGAGGTTTATGTCCCCATCTGTCCTCCTCAAGGCCCTGCTGTCATCCCGTGGCACCCTGAGGTTCAGACGAAGCCGGTAAGTGCTTTCCTCTGTGCTGCTCTGGCAAGTCAGCTTTGCCTTGGGCACGCCACAGTCACCAAGGGGAAGACAGGACAGTCCGGGCTGGGAGACTGCTGGCACTTCTGCAAGCTGATGTACAGCTTGTGCCGAAAACATCCGTGACTGCCGGAGGACGCTGGGCTGTTCCCTGGCACTGCCGTGGCAGCACAGGA